AGTTAGAACTTCCAGTACAATGTTGAACAGAGGTAATGAGAGTGGACATACTGCCTTGTTCCTTATCTTAGTAGGGAAGCCTTTCGTCATTCACTCCTGAGTATGATGTTAACTGTAAGTTTTTTCGTAGATGTCTTTTATCAGGTTGAGCAATTTCCCCTTTATTCCTAGTTTGCTAAGAGTTTTTATAATGAATGAATGTTGGGTATTATCCAAAGCTTTTTCTGCATATATTAAAATGACCATTTTTTTATTTTGTTAATATGGTGAATTATATTGATTGATTTTTTGGATTTGATTATATATTATATACATATACATATATATATATTCTATTTACTAAATTTCCACACCTGAGGATATATGTATTGCTTTTAGAAGAGAGAAAGGGGGAGAGAGAGAGAGAGAGAGAGAGAGAGAAACAGAGAGACAATGATGTGAGAAACATTACTGGTTACTTCCTGTATGCACCCTAACCTGGGTTTGAACCTGCAACTTTGGTATGTGCCCTGGCTGGAAATTGAACCTACAACCTTTTGGTGTATGGGGCGATGTTCATACAGCAACCAACTGAGCCATCCAGCCAGGGCTCTATCTGCTAAATTTTAAAGAATTTCTACATCTAAATTCATGAGGAACGTTAGTTACAGTTTTGTCTCTTTCATAATGTGACTGTTTTTCTGGATCATGCCCCTTGATTAAACTCAAATATAAAAGCTATTAAATCATTTATGTAGCTTAGGAAAATAGTGTCAGGAACACAACTGAAGAATGAAAGCAATAAAATATATTTGGTATGGTTCCTGAGAGAGAAAAAATATGAGAAAGCTGGGCAAGAAAGTTTACATTTTTTTGCCAAACGAAGTTATCTAAATATTGCATTGCTATTATTCTTCCCGATAGATTAAATAGTTCAGAAGGGAGGGAAAGGAAAGGAAGAGTCCTTATTTAAAAAAATAAAGGAAGAAAAGGATACAAGATAAAATTCGTTTCTGTTAGTGGGAATTAAAAGGGAAGGGAATGATCGGGGAAATAGAGGTGTGAAGAAACGCAGACTTCATGAGGGTTCCCCCACCCCATCTTTTTTATGGGGAAAGGGAAGGACATAAACTCCTGAGCCTTATGGGCTAGGCACTATGCTGACACTTTAGCATATACCTCATATAATGGTGCTGGAGGGGGAAGACTTTTTGGAGGACAAAGAATCTGCAGTGTTGACCTGCAGCATATTCCAAACTGATCATATGGATGGAACTTGGAAAGGAAGATTATTTCATGTACTTGACCTAGTCTTTGAATGGAAGGGCACATTTTGAGCCACTGACCAACTGGTGTCCAGAGGAGGGTTAACTGGACAGTGAAGAGACCCAGCACCAGGTCATCTGAAGATGTATTTACACTTCCTCTGAAAAGGAGAAAATTAATGAGGGTGCGGGGAGATAACACCTGCAATAATGAAAGGACTTTCCTAATTTGGAAAAGGAAATACACTTTTTAGGATATGGCTTCAGGTGGCAAAAATCTGATCAATGGTGGGAATTATGGAGAGTAGGATGTCAGCTCATCCACTGATCCAAGCTTTCTGGGGGAAGGGGGTGCAGGTGCTTTGCATGACCTGGTGTCCCTGATGGGAGATGGTGGTGAATATGCACCATTGCCCATCTGGGTCACCAGGAGGAAATACAATTCCTGGGTTACGTGGGAGAGGAAGCTAAAAGTCTGACAGCCAAAGTCCACTTCCACTTGAGGAACCTATGAATTAGCTGTGTCAGCCTCCTGTCTCCACATAGGCAGAGTATGAATACAAAATAATGCATATGGGGGGGTGTATTTCAATGCAGTCGCCTAGGGGGCGCTCTCACAATCATTACGCGCAATGACATAGCACAGCAGCTGGTAATACACTTAAGGGGATGATGATAATCATTTGAATGCTGGCCTTGGTGAATTAGTTCTGAATCTCCCCAGGGATCAATGAGCCTTTGAACCTGCCTGTCTCCTGTGCTTGGAGGAGTTTCTCTGGTTGCAGGCTTACCCTGCTGCCTTCTGGGAGCCCCCAAGACAGTATCAAATTGTGGTTAGGAACTAGGATTATGAAGTCCCAGGATTCGTATTCTGGTTTGAATACATGACTAGCCATAGGACCTTGAGTAAATTGTCTAACTTTTTTTGTACCTTACTTTCCTTATCTGTAAAATGAGAATGATAACCTGCTTTAAGAGCCGGTGTGAAAATGAAATGAGATAACAGGTACAAAGCACTCAGGAGAGCTCCTGGCACGTGGCAAACACTTCAGAGGCTCGAGTTAGGCCTGACTTTGTGTGCAGCATGCTGAGCTGGGCAAGGGCTGCCGCCACGTTTGGTAGCAATTATCTCGGTTGTTTATTTGATTTACTCTCATGCAAGAATGTGAACTCTAAGAGAGCAGGAAGGAGCATTGCTGGTTCATTCACTATTTTTTTTCCAGTAATCTGCATGCTGCCCGGCACATCTTACATGCTCAAATATGGAAACGGTTGTGTTGCATTCTCCTCTGAGCCCACTGAGCCCTTCTCGGTGCTGGAAGGGACAGGTCCCTGCAAGCAGCTCAGAAACACAGATCGGGGTTTGGCCCAGCCTCCCCTTGGCACAAGTCTTCACTGTCTACCCCTGGACCAAAGCCATGGGCAGGCATGGACTTATCAATGAGATGGGTCTCAATTGGTCACCGCCCTTCCCATTTTATGGGTGGGGAAATTTAGTCAAGGAGTTTAAATAACAGCTCAGGGTAACAGCCATATCCCATGAGTGATAATGTCAGGATTCAAACCCAGTTCTTTCTGCAAGACCCCTGGCAGGCAAGCAATAAAGTTACTACCTTTTTCTGAAAGAGAGAAAGGGAACTGTTCTGTATGATTGGAGATATTAAGCGAAGTCTGGTGCTGATGATGAAGAGAGCTGAACTGCTGCAGAGTGACTGGAGGGCTGGGTGAGATGGGAAGGCACAGCCCTGGCTCTGACTCCATCCCTTCTCCCTTAACTAGAAGCCTGCAGCCTTCCCTCCCTCCAGAGCCCCTGCCCTGTGCCCCCACTGCCAGATGCCAGCGAGTCTCGGGACGCAGCAGCGCTCTAGGCCAGAAGTTCGCGGACAATGCAGAGGCCTGGGCCCACTCCGGATCCGCTGACTCTGATCCTCTCGGGTGAGGCCCAGGGGTCAGCTTTCGGGTGGTTCTAGTGATGGAAGCTTGAACCACCACCCTGGATTCATACGCCTCCTCCCGCTGGGCCTCCTTGCCCCTCCACAGGTCTGTCTGAAGCCCAGGCAGCTTCTGCCTCATGCTCTTTGCACCCACGGTTCTGGACGGGAGGGAGCCAAGGCCAGACCAGCACTTTGGGAGCGCCTGGGGGCCTCTCAGCTTGAGGATGGAAAACGCTGGTGTGTGGGAAAGGCCTTGCTCATGACATCAGGGGAGAGCTTTTTACTTTTTATTTGCTGGTCTCAAATTCCTCCGGCTTAATGAAGACAGCCCACAGAAAATGGGCACGGGCAGATCCCAGCACATCACTAGGGCACGAGACAAGGACAGGAATTTCTTGGGCTCCTAAGAAGGGAGTCAGCAAGGTGGTGGGAGGCTGCGTGCTCTGTGGAGAAGTTCGTTGGGGAGGAAGAGTTCCTGAAGAGGCTGGGGAGGGGGGGGTAGGGTGGGGCGGGGCCTGAAGAGGATTAGAGGCGTGTCTAAACACATGTTTAGGTGGTTTGCTGAACAATGTGTGAGGTGACCTTCCCTGGGGTCCCCCCTCACCCCGTTATCCAGTACTTCCTATGAAACCTATGAGTATTTGGTGGGAGTGGTTTTTTGTTGTGGAAACTGAAGGAGGGTCAGAGGTTCAAGCAGATCAGGGTGAGTCAGGCTGAACTCACCAACCTGGGATCCTAGGGTTTGAGAGCAGCCAAAGAACACAGAGCCCCTGAGGTTCAAAGAGGTCGAGGCCTTTGGGCTTTGGCGGCCACAGAGCCGGAAGAGTCAAGCAGATGTTCCCCAACCTAGGGGGTGTGCAGGGATGCATCTAGCCAACCACTCCCAGCCCCGAAACTGAAAAGTGAGAAGACAAAAGGAAAATGCGGTTTGGCTCTATAAATGGGATACTAATTAGTGTCATTTGTGCCAACTGCTTTCCATTAATGCTTAATTGCTTACCATGTGGTATAATAACAGTTACGCATTGCGTGAACTACACATCCGATTAGCTGAGTTTTATTTGCCTCCATGTGGGCCCGTCTTCCTCATGCCTTTCTTGCCTGGTTGTCTATGGACTAATACACTGACTTTATTTACAACTGGGGAAAAAAAGTAAGTACGGGCACAGCGCTTAGCATTTGAGTAATTCTCTCCTCCAAGAGGTGGATTTCCCCATGCTGGCTCAAACAACAGTACTATCTAGTTTGGGGGCTTGGCCAAAAAAGAATGTGGGTTCAATGAACACAGATCCGTTGGCCCCTCTCTTTGTAGGAGACCCATAACATGGCCTTCACCAAAGCAAGTAGATCCCTGCGCACCTCTAAAACAGGGCTAAATAATCATTCGCAGCCAACGTTACTAACTCATCCTAAGTTCACGCTTCAGAGCACAGACTAAAATACGGAAACAATTCCTCAGGGAACAGTTAACAGAGGCATGGGATGGAAAGGTTCTTCAGCAGTCCTCCCCGGAAGAAGAGCTTGGAATAAAAGACACCGGCTCATGAATTCAAGGAAGCTATTTCCGAGAAGTTGCTTCCAACCATCTTCCACACTTTTCCTGATGGCCTGCTGTGTGCTTGGCTCTGGCCAAGGTGCTGTGGTGGCAGAGTAGGCGGTGGAAATCAAGACAAAATATATGAATTACAAAACCTCGTTTGTATCTTTAGGGGGGTGATGACTTGGTGGGGTGATGGGCCACCGATGAATGGGCCCAGATCAAAGAAGGGGGAGCGGGAGAGAAGAGGAGGACAGTACCGATGCCTCGGCAAAGCAATCTTACTTCTGCAAGTCGTCTGATCCGAGTTGAGGATGTATCCCTGTTTGCACCTGCAGACATAGGAGCCAGGGGTGTTGATGCAGAAGTGGGCACAGTTATGCTCCCGGAGGCTGCACATGTGGACCACTGAAAGGAAAGATACGGCAAGTTTAGGCGACAACAATGACTTCTCTAAATTCATGCACTGCAGACATTTACTCAGACCCTATTCTGTGACGGAGAGGGCAGGGCCCAAAGAGGAAGAAGCTGCCGTGCCCTCCCTCAATGGGGTTTGAAGCCTCTGGTAGGATGAGCCGGTCCTAGATAAATGATATCAGCCATATCTAGATACAGAGCTAAGGAGGGTTAAAGGGAAATGATGTTATGTTACGTCAAAAGGAATTGTCAATATTCAACTAAAAACAGGGCCAAATAACCTACAAAAAGAGAAATGCCATGGTTCAATTAATAATACCCATCTGGTGGGTTGGAAGGTCAGAAAGCTTGCTGATACCAGGGCAACTTTAGCTAAGGTGTGGATTTTCAATAGGCAGCAATGGAGTTGGAGGAAAAGCTATTAAATGAGGATATGGTTAAGAATCAACAGTTTCTCAGGATCATAAATCCTAAGAGTAGTATAATTTTTTTAATATGTAAAATTGTTGTGCCAAATTTTGCAGTAAAAGATGCATTCATATGTTTCATGTTTCCATAAGTTTTATGTCTCATTTTAAAATATTTCTACGTCTAGTTTCTGAAGGACGTCAGCTTTCACATATATCAGTTCTTACATAAGTCTGTTTGGAGATCATAAAAATTCTTTTGTTACATTTTAATTTATGACTTTCTCAAAAAAATGCAACTTGAACGCATTTAAAATTTACCAACATCAGTATAAACAAGTACAAGTTATGCAAGTGTTCTCAACAAAAAAGATGACCATATGTAGAAATGTATTTATAGAAGCTGAAATAAAAGAGGCTTTCAAGAGCTAAGAACAATCCCATTAATCCAGGGCTTAATAAAATTCAGCTACCAATGAAATAAATGGTATAAGGCAGGGTCTGTCCAGAAAGTATCCAGCCACATACTATGAAAAATAGAGACATTTACACCAGAAACATTGTACATAGTACAATGATGCCTCAGTCCCCTTCAAGTAGGCATCTTGGGACCAAACACCATCATCTGCCCCCATCTTATTTTCTGGAATCTCATTGATGGTCTGAAACCTCTTCCCTTTCAAAGGTGATTTTAGTTTTGGGAAAAGCCAGAAGTTGCAGGGAACCAAATCTGGGCTGCAGGGGGGCTGAGTCACCTGGATGATTTGATGTTTCACAAAAAAATTGCACGAGACATGATGCATGAGCGGGCACGTTGTTGTGATAAAGCTGCCAATTACCAGTTGCCCACAGCTGCAGCCTCCTGAATTATCTGAATAGCTTCTGTGGAGGAAGGTTCAAGCTTAACACAAAATCTGATGCAGATTTGTTGCTCTACTTGCTCAGTCATTTTGAATGCAACGCCCACACAGTACACATGCTCACTCAACGGCATTTACCGCCCCTACTCACTTGTACAGTGAAGTTGTCATTGTTCATGCATGTGCATTCCAGTCCACTGTCCTTGACTGTCAGGTTACATCAATGTCAGGCAAACTGTTCTTGTTATATTAACAGTGGCTGGACTTTTTCTGGACAGACCTTGTATGTCCCCTTACCTCTAAGTAAGAAACATGGTTAGCATTAAATTAACTAAGGGAGTAAAACATTTATTTCATAACAATACAATTTAGAATGATTCTTCTGAGTTTACAATGGTCTGTTTTAGCTCTTAAGATGCAAATAAGACACAGGTAATATTAGGAAATTTCCTAGATTAAATCCAATCATTTTTACTTTGGTGTGAAATAAATAGGTTTTTGTGACCATGGGCAACTTTATTAACCCCTTTGTACATAGTAGAGATGAAAATAGCACCTATCTCACAAGGGCCTTGTAACGGTTGAAATAATCAAGATTGTAAAGTGTTTAGAAGACTGCCCAGTACTTGGGAGATGAATGTTCATAAGTGTTAACCGTTACGTAGCCAAGGACAAGCATGGCGGTCTTTAGTTTTGTTTGACATACATGGGTTCATCCTACATATATTGATCTTCAACTTGGTTTTTCACTGAACATTATTCACAAATTCTATCTATATTGATATATACCATCTTCCATAGCCCCTAAGATGCACCCCCATTTCAGAGATGTTAAGATGTGAACACACATACAGTTGATACTCATTATGTGCAGATTCTGAATTTGTGAATTTGCCTTCTGGCTGAAAGTTTTTTGTGACTCCAAAGCCAATACTCCCTGTGCTTTCACAGTCATTTGTGGACCTGCTCAGAGCAATGAAACACCTGAGTCACCTGAGCAGTTATACTACTCGTAGTCACCATCTGAGGCTAAACTAGGCAATGCTCTTTTTGTTTCATCTCTCAGCCTATAAACGTGTCCTTTTCAAGGTCTACTTCGTGCCATGTTTTTGCATTTTTGTGCTTTTTGTTGGTGTTCTGCTGTTTCAAGTGGTCACAAGCACAGTGCTAAAGTTTGTAGAAGTGAATTGCTAGTGATGTGTGTCTTGTGTCTCCAAGTGCAAGAGGCTGTGATGCGCCTTACAGAGAAGGTGTGCATTAAATTTCATTCAGGCATGGGAACTCAGTACTGTGGGCTCTGGGTCCAAAGTTAATGAATCAGCAATAGATATTAAACAAGGTATCTTCAAACAGAAACACACATAAAACAAAGTTGTGTATTGATCAGTTGACAAAAATGTGACCAGCATCTTGCAGGAATCTGTGTTTCCCCTAGGAGCAATGGTGCAGTATTTGCTAATTCAGTGTTCACCATAACTCTATAGAACACAACTGCTGAGAATAATGAGAATCAACTGTATATCTTAGATTTGGTCAAATACATTAGCTCTGGTTTATTCCTTTCAATTGCTTTATTCATTGGTCATACGACTCATTTTATTGGGCCATTTCCCCGTTAGTCAACATTTGAGCAGGTCCCAAATTTTTGCTTTCACAATACTGTGATGAATATTCTCAAACACCCTCCCCGAACTCATGTGCAGCTGTTGCTCCAGGACTGGGTTCCAGTTTAACAGACACGGCCTAATTGCCTTACAAGGTGGGTCACACCAGCCATGCGTGAGAGTAACAATTCCAGCCCCGACAAACCTTCACCACTCGGCATTATCAACTTTAAGTCTGGGACTGTACGTGAGGGAAAAATCATTATCCTGTTTTTAATTTGCATTTGCTTTGCACCCTGGAAAACTTTCTTCTTTTAGTGGACTGCTGGAGCCAAGTTACCCGCGGGCACAAGGGCATTCCTGAGGAAGCCTCAGCATGTCACTAATTTCCTCTGTAATGAAGGAAGTCTAAGGTCTAGGCAACCAGCTACATGTGCTTAATAACTGGTGCAAGGCCCAAGTGATGAGTCCACTGCCCGCTTTCTCACGGGGCCCCTGGCAGACAAAATAGGAAGGCAGGAGATGTGAGGCGGAGAAAATATCTGTTAGGCAGCAGATAGCACGGTGGTGGAGGACAGCTTTGCTGCTTACTATGTATGACCTTGTATAGATTACTTCATTTCCCTAAATTCCTCTTTCTTCACCCATCAAAGGGGGTAAATGAAAAGAACTATTGCCTAGGGTTTTAGAGTGACAGCTTATTGCTAAGGCTTGTTTGGGCCACGTACTGTAAGAAAAATTGGAACCAGGAGACTGTAAGTTGGGGTATTGGGAAAAGCATGGGATTGGGAGCCAGACTTGTGTTCTAGCTCTCCTCTACCTCAAACAAGTGGGGGAAGTTGGGTAGCTCTTTTTGGTTTATTTCTTCACCTGCAGAATAAAGGCACAAACAGTGTCCATAGGCCCTCACTACACATGTTCATTGCCTCATCTGTGAAGCACTCCCTTTTTCTAGAAACTGCCCTTCTCACTCCAGATGCAGGGTAACTGTGGGAGCTGCTGTGTTGGTAGGAGGTAGCACCACTCCAGGCTGCCATTGGGTGGGACAGGGTTTGACAATCAGAGTTCTTTCTTGGCATTTAGGAATTAGAGCTGAGAAAAAGGGGGTTTAACCAAGGGCAAGTTTATCTGGAGGGCTAATATGCTCTCTGCCCTTGGGCCAACGAGGCCAGTCCATGGGGAAGCAGAGGGAAGAGATGGAGAGAACACAGGACTCTCATTCATTACTCTTCGCAGTAATTCAATGAGTAATAATATAACACAATCCTCACTTTCTCAAGCTGGTCAAGTTGAATTTCTACTACTGTCAACCAAAAGAATCCCACATATTTTTACTAAGGTAGAATAAGAATTTTGCACCTGTAAAACTTTGTGGGTGACTGTTCAGTGAGTCTATGAGTATCTGGACCCCAATGCCTTGCTGTCCTGTGGGCCAGGCCTTTGTGATGCGACTGATGGGGAGACCATAGTTCTGCCTCCTCCACTGGCCTACAAATGCTCTCATCTCTCAGGGGGCCCTCTGGGTTGGAACTGGATCAAGGCTTTGTGTTCAGGGGAAGGAATCACTACTCAGCCAGCTGCCATTGGCAGGACTGGATTTTTTTTTTTTTAAACTAGGAAATAGGAATGTTCATGAACATTTATTAATGAATGCCCGAATGATTACAGGAGTAATCAAAGGAGTGGTGGGGCTGACTGGGAATCTTGAAAGGGACAATTATTGGGTATGTAAAGTTAACATCAGTTGAGGTCCAGCTACTCTCCCACTTAACACAATAGGGCCTCAGAGGGGCCCAGTAAGTGTAGACTTTGCCCAGGTTGGTTAATGAGAGGTCTTGGGAGCACTATTAGGGCCTGACATTGCTCCTGGCCTGGCCTGGGTGGGGTGGGGTGGGGTGGGGTGGGGCTATTAGGGTAGGAACGGCCAGCCTCTGGGCTCCAAACACCAGGTGAGGTTGATAAAACAAGTACTAAGAGGTTAATTAAAAGCAGCCCTGCCCAGGTTATAATGAGTCTTCAGAAGGCTCAGGATGGACATGTAGTTTTCAGCCCATAAATTCTGTGTCCTCTCTCACTGGGTGGCAAAAGTGGTGGACCTCAGGCTGGGTGGGTTTTGGGCATTTTGCAGACAGGGCCCCAATTCACAGGACAGCAGGCCTCCAAGTTTCTCTGGTGGTCTCAGGGGTGGCCTGAGAATGCAACCTCAGCAGTCCCACCTCCCAGCCCTGCTGTGGCTGGTGTGGGAACTGACTATCCATGGGTATAAAGCCACTACTGTGTCCAAGTTCACAACAACACAGCCAGGGAGAGCCAGAGCCAGGACTCACACTCAAGGGCAGTATGGCTCCAGAGCCTAATCTCCTCATAACTGTTCATGAAGGTTCCTGCCTCACTCACACTGGGAGATGAAGGTCCTGCAATGCTTTTCAGCTCTGTCTGAAGCACATGAGCTTCGACCGTTCTTCCCTCTGAAACCTTGTCCCTAGGTGCACCACGTCCTCCACCTCTCTGCCTAGCCCTTCATCAGCACTTTTCAAACTGTGGGTCAAAATTTACAGAGAATCTGGACTTGTTTTTTGTTTTTTGTTTTTTTTTTAAAATATGATATAGAAAAGAACAATTGAAAATAACATTCCTTCCCTGGCTTGCTGCAGTTGCCCTCCTTACATAGCCAGTAAACTCCTACTCATCTTTCAAGTCTGCATAACACATAGTGGTTACGATGTAGGTTCTCAGCCAGAAGGCCTGGGTTTGCAAGCACCACTTAGTGCTGTGCAACTTTGGACAAGTTATTGAGCCTCTAGGTCTCAATTTCCTTTCCTATAAAATGGGAATTATAAGAGCACCTACTTCACGGGTTTACTGTGCAAATAAAATGAGTTCACATATGCTAGGAGTGCAAAACAGCACATATGCATATTAAAATCAATAAATGTTAGTGACTATCCCTATTATCCACTGTTTAAAGCTCTTCTGGAGCCCCTAGGTGGACCCAGGCATTTTTTGGTCAGAGGTCTCCAGTGCTAGGTGACTTTCCAAGGCCACTGAGGTAGAGCCAACGTCCTGTTTCTCTGTGATGAGAGAGAGCATCTTCTCACAAGCCTGGAGCCCTGGGCCTGGCGCGTAGAGAGCTCTGGAGGCAGAGAGGCTGCAGGCTGGATCTCCAGCTCTGCTCCCTGAAGTGGTTTATCTTTTCCAAGCCTCAGTTCCCATTTCTGTAAAACAGAGGTACTAAGAGCACATGCCTCATAGGCTGCTCTAAGTATTAAATAAAATAAGGTATGCAAAGTACCTAGCCCAGGACAAACTCAGCTGTTATTATCAGAGTGTTACGCAATAAATGTTGAAGGAACAAATGAGACTTCTGAAACCTCAGAGGTGCCATCTGCCAACTTGGAAGATGCTCATCGCTGTTGCCTGAGCACTGGAGTACAGATCAGAGGTGACGGCCTGCTGGTCCTCCATGTATCTGACTGTAATCATACACAGCATGGTGCACACCGAATAGGGTTCTACAGTTCACTGCACCTGCTCACACACCTATTTCTGCAGGTAAAAGCCCCATCTTACATAGTTGCTCAGCACCATACAGCGGGCAGGTGAGGTCTCTGAGACAGGATTCTGCTCCTCCCCACCCTACAAAGGCTTCCATCAAACTCTAGGTGAATGTCAACCTCACAGCTGGTTTCGCCAACACAGCTGGATGGTGGAGGCTGCCATGAGAAAATCCTTTACCTCAAAAAAGGAGTTTATAACTCTCAACACGCAGAGGAATAAAATGAAAGCAGAACCCAGCATCTGCTGGCTGTTTGTTCTAGGGGAACTCACTGAGCAAGTTCACTAACCTGACAGTATCATGTTGCCTCCCCAGGTTCTTGTGAAGATCAAATGCAAAAACAGAAGAGAAAGTGCTTTACAGATGTCAGTTACTGTGCTCTTTACTGCAGAGCCGATAGAAGCCCCGGGTCCTCCTCAGCCTTTGAAGACAGCTGACAAGTCTGCTCATCAGAACCCAGCAACGTGGTGAGAGAGGAGCTGGTCTCCTGCGGGGTGCGGGTAGGGATTCAGTTCTCAGACCCCACGAATGAATGAATGAATGAATGGCTGGCATAATACTGAATATTTTCTTAGAGCTTCCAGATTATAACACAGCAGTGGTGGGGGATGAGGAGGATTCAAATTGCTTTTAATGTCGTTGCCTGGCCCTGGCCATAAAGAACACAGAGAAGGTTCTTCTACAGACAAGTCTACATCCTTAGGTTTGGCATATTACCTTTCCATTTGCTGACGAGAGCACTTATGAAAGAACTCCTCCATTAATATTTTCCAAGACAAATGAATAGACGTGTCAAAAATGTTATGGAACCAATTTCTTTTTTAGTTTGTCCAGGAAGAGAGGAACATAAATTCTGCAGAAGTCATTTACAGTCATAAACTTTAAAAATGTTCGCAGCGCATCCTACTGGGTGACGTTCTCCAGGTGACTCGGGGCCCAGCACACCACAGTAGCCAGCCCTTCGCGCCACCAGGGCAAACAGCACTTCTGAACATTTTGCAAGTGGCATTGCAGAGAAAGAGTTCTTGTGCTTTCACGGCATTGATTTTGTAAGTAAATCATTTGATTTTTGAGGTTAAATCTCGTCAGGGAATTTTTGTTATAAAGATACACCACAAGCACACCATTCTTACTCTCTGGTGCATTGAGGGGCGTGGGGGTGGGGCCCGGGCTATGTCACATCCTGAGCACTGGTCCTTCAAGCCCCACAGGGGCAGGTTCCTGCTCCCGGAGAGCTGGAGATAAGCCTGCTCCTTAAGCTCGTTCTCTGCTCTTACTCCAGGGAAATACTAGTCATTTCAAAATAGATATTTCCTTGGTTGTCCCGTCACAGAAGGATGGAAGTTGGAGCAGACAGGGACCAGTGGCAGTGGGAAAGGCAGGACTGGACACTGTTTGCCAGGCCAGGAGGCACACTTCCCGTTTCCAGGACTAGAGTGGAGCCTGGGTTGGCACCCTGGGCCCCTGCCCTCCTGGAGGAGGGACGAGAAGGCGGCTGCAGGAGCGGGAAACTGGGAAGAGAGCAAGCTGACCTGATGGAAAAAGCTGAGGCAGGAGACTGGGCTGAAGGTCTACAAGGGAGAGAGGAGCCTTGTAGGGTTGGAAAGCAAGAGAGGGAAGAAGACCCTGAAGGATGGGAAAAGCAGCTCAAGGACTTAGGGAGGCCTCCCGTAACAGAGAAGTGAGCTGGAGTGTGGGGACACCTTTTGCCATCCTTACAGGCGGGAAGGCACCAGGACCACATCTCAGTCCTCTCTGTCCACTGGGTGTCTCTGTCAGTTGAGAAAACATCCAGGGCTAGCACCACCATGGGGCAAATAAGCTTGTATTCCACACCATCCAAGGAGAAATTACGCCATTATTTTTGCCCTCCCAGTTCCATTCCTACTCCAACTGATGAATGCCAACTTAGAGAATTCCACGGGAGTTCAATGTGCTACAGAAAAACGTCATCTGTCTACTCTTACTCATTCTGCAGTTTGGGTTTCCGTGTCCCTTCCCTAGGGAAGTCTCCCTGAGCAGCCTGGACTAGGCCAGGTCCTGCCCTGAATGCTTCCTCTATCACACTGTTACAACTGCAGTTACCTATTTGTGTCATTTTATGCTTAATGTCTGTCTCCTTTGCCAGAGTGTAAACCCCCAAAAACATGGTGCCTCTCTTGGCCTTTGCTGAACAGCCCTCGCAGACACAGTACCTGGGATGAGGCCGCACAGAATGACCCCTGGAAGACAAATAAATACATCCTGACAGTGCCCCTGGGAGAGCCACAGGGGGCAAGACTTACCACACAACTTGTTCTGGAACACTGAGGTCAGCGACTCCATCTGGCTAAAGTTGGCCACCAGGAAGACGTGGTCCTCGTGAGGCTCACTCCCGATGGCCTTCAGCGTGTTGAGGTCCACCTGGCCCACACCAATGGCAAAGATCAGGATGCCTGTGTCCCGTGCCTTTGCAGCCACCTCGGCCACAGAGTCCTGTGGTCTCCCATCTGTCACGATCATTATGACCCGCGGCACGTTCTCCCTCAGGGGCCGGGCCCCCTCTGCTTCTGAGAAAGCAATGTTCAGGGCATATTGGATGGCCAGCCCCGTCATGGTGCCCGTGGACAGGTGCCTCATCCTCTTGACAGCGCGCTCCACCTCGGACTTCCTCTTGAAGGTCTTGAGGGAGAACTCATTCTTAACGGTGCTGCCATATTGGAGCAGACCCACTCTGGTGACATCAGGGCCAATGTCCAAGAACTGCAAGATGTCCATGATGAACTCCTTGACCTTGGCATAGTCGTGGGTGTTGACACTGCGCGAGCTGTCAATGATGAAGACCAGGTCTGCCCGCTTATTTTCACAGGAGCTCTCTGGGGAAAGAGGAGAGGCCAAATGCATTAGAAGAGTGTGAAGGATGCGGCGCAGGGTGGCTATTGTTAGAAATCATAGGGCTGGGGATCACCTTTCAAACCTCCAATCTTCATCAGTTTTCCTTCACACTTGGGAAAGTCGTAAGGGTGTGTGTGAAAGCTGTATGCACATGTGTGTGTGCATGACTGGGTGATCATGGGTACTGGCTACAAACAACTACTTTCTTTTTGCTAGATAGATGAATACTTTAGTTTCCAGAGAGTTGTCTGTACACTTTTCAGGTGGCCGAACACCTGACCAAGGACAAAATGATTTCACCGTTTACTGTATGCCACAGAAGCATGCCCAGATACTGAAGGGGATGTGGAAGAAGCTTAGAAAAGGGACCAACATCAAGGAGCTTAGAGTCTACCTGAGGAGACTTCACTCATGGAACAAGTGAAAGAGTAGCTGGTAAGAAACTGTGTGGTGCTAACACTAGATGTACAGAAAACAGGGATATTAGTGGGCTGGGGTCAAGGAGATAGGACGTGAGCTGGCTTTACGGATGCTTAGTGTTTGAACTGAGAGAAGGTGCACAGGGAGAGGGACACATGAACAAAGACCAAAGGTGATGTGACTATGGTAGATAATAGGATAAGTGATGAAGGAACTATTAGGAGTTGCAGGTAGGAATTAAGTTGGAGGGGTATCCTGAAGCCAGTTATAAAAGGCCTTTAAATTCAGACAGAAATTTGTACATGATGCTACAGGTGATGGGCATAACATGATTAGCATCCCATGATGTAACTTGTCTCTTCTGGAGAGAAGCTATGTAATAAAAAGTCAATTGAGCGTGGTAGTCGTTTGCAAGGTAGGTGACTCAGGCCACTGTTGCACTAACCTGGTTGAACTGTCTCAGTCATGGCCGTGGTGGACATGGATGAGGGACCCAGCCAAGAACCATTTCAACAAAGGACACAGTTAAATTGGAAGAAGGCAAATATTAAGTCTCTTCCTTATCTCCACAACCAGCATACTTATTCCTTAAGCACCCAAGCAAGGAGGCTATTTGAGGTTTGAGTCCTCCCTGCAGATGGAACTCACTGCATTCTGGGAAATGGATGGTATGGGACCAGATGAAAGACCCCTTGCCTCAAAGGGCAGAAGCTGGGCATTCCTGCTGGAATTTCTCATATTTTTTGAGCCACTGCCTCCAGCCAGGGGGATTCCCTCCTCCCTTCCCCAGACTTTGCAGCTAAATCCACATTTGATAGGGATTAGGAAGGGATCCCAAATGCTTGCCCTAAATCCCAAACACCACAGCTGCAGGAAAGCGAGAGAAAGCCAAAAATGAAACAGCGAACCCAGTCATTAAAATGAGAAATAAGAAAGGCCCATGAGGTCAGCCCGCCCAGACCAGCTTGCCAGGCTGTGGCTTGCCTGCGTGCCAGCACACAATACCTCATCCATCGCTGCCTGACGAGTCTAACCATTTTAGGGCAGGAAGGACCCCCAAACGCCAGAGCCTGGCAGGAAAGCAACTTTCTGTTGCACCCACATGTCACCCTGAGGGCTATTAATATGAGGTGAGTTTCTCAAACAACAGGCCCCAGATACTGCCTGTGAGGACTCTGGGATAAGATCAATATAAAACCCTTGGCATTTGCAGGATGTTTTAAAATCCTTCTTTCCGTCGAGAGGGCTTTTATCACTCTTGAGAAAAGAGCTAGGAGTATCACACCCATTGGATAAATGAAAAAATGGAGGTGGTGACTGTTTGAAAAAAACCTCTTATAATTTAGAAAAAGACAAACTATATGAAGACAACACAAATATCCACCTCGTTGGGTGGTTGTGAGAATTTAAGAAAACGATCCAGCCCAGCCCTGAGCCCCAGAGGCTGCATCCGCCTGGAGAGGGTGCCTTTTTCTGATGTTCATGAAGGTGCCTACGTCTAGCACATGGCCCTGGGTTGGAGCAGAGAATGACAGACTGACAGGTCTCAAGATAGAAGTCAGGTCCAGGAGCAAGGCTGACCCCTTCTAGGAGCCTCACCTGCCCCACCCTTGATGTCTCCCACCCTTGATGTGTGAGCTGACTTCGGGGAGAATATGGCCCAATGTTTTCTACCTGCTGAGAACCGGAACCAGACTCTGACCCTCCACAGAGGCAGATATTCATGGAAACCTCCTTGGAAAGGAGGGAGAGAAGAGGGAGACAGTAGACTGTTCCCCTGAGAACTCTCTTCCTCTTTGGAAATAGGGAGAGAGTCCCCCCAGGACAGGGATTCTTACTGTGGGTCTTAGTCACGGCGTTAACATCCCACCAAGCATCATAATCAATTTACTTACAGGGAAGCCTGGAAATTCCACAGGGAATTATGTGCTAAATGGACTAGTTCCTATTAAAACAAAGGGGTTGTGTTTACAACACCTGGACACTTACAAAAATACCACAAAGTTTCAAAATGTTGTTGCAGGTTACAAGGGGACCGGGACTGTGAGTTGGAAATGGGTCACAGCAGCCCAAGGGACCAAGTTTTCTTCAAGATGTCTCCTCTGTAGGTTTAGGGTGGCACCTAAAATTTTCATTTCTAGCAAGTTCCTAGAAAAGCTGATCACTGCTCTAGGGACTGCATTCTGAGAAGCACCAGTTTAAGTACTAGAGAGCTCTCTGGAGAAAAGAAGTTATAGGAAGCGTGACCTGACTCCCTCACAGCAAGTTCCCTGCAGTGTGAAGCTAGTTTCTCCCGTCTACACAGCCACGCAGTCAGGAATACAGTTAGTCCTAGGGCAATGCATTTGTGGAATTAATTGAGGTTCAGGGACTCTCAGACTAGTAAATTTTTAGAGATGGAAGGGTCAAACAGAGTGTAAGTCACTCACTTTCCAGAAGGAGAACCTGAGGTTCAGAGAGGTGATTCTAAGTCCACAAGGCCTTATGGCTCATCAGGGTCACACCTGGGACTACACTGGTACCCCTTCCACCATTTTCAGGCAGGTGCCTTGGAAAATCCTCAATACATCACGAGCTGGTGTTACATGAGCTTTGTAAACACTTGGGGGCTTTCTAAAATATTCGCTGTGAAGAGCCTAATAGCTTCTCCTCACGGGGACTTCTGAGAGATGATTCCAGAAAATGACTTCTCTGTGTGTGTTCCTTTCACACACTGGTTTTGATCCACAGCATCCCTGTCTCCTTAGCCTGGCTGAACACACAACAGTCCTCCCTCGGGGCCCTCACCACGGACTTTCAACAGCAACTGTAAGAGGGTATGTGAGCACATCATAAAATGTCACCCCTTAAGCCCTAAAGTGATGGTCTGGACTTTGTCAACAGCACTTCCAGTACCATCAGCTTGACTCCAAAGCCCACACATTGGCCAAACTGAGTGTCTCAGGCCCTTGCAGAGCAGGTGAACCTGAGCCAGGACGATTGTAAGCAACATTCCCACTCCCGCAGGATTACAGTGTGTGATCTTGGAACTGTTTCTTCCTCTCAAGGTTGCTGATTTGTTGCTAATCAGCCTCCCTTGCTCCGGCTAAATTCAATCATGACCATGTAATTGTACAGTAAATATTTGGTGCCATCTGCCCAGGAAGACCCAGGCATGTTTGGAGAAGGGAGTGATGCGAATCTCTGTGATAAGGGTAAAAATCATGTCATCCAGGGGCTAAAAGGGAGCTCCGAAACGCTCAGTGAAACGGCAGTAGAGTCCCACCATCTTAGCGCAAGTCTAGCTTCTGTTGCTTTCTGTCCACGTGGTCCTGAGCCTCTCCTTAACCCCTGTGATGTGCAGCCTCCTCTCCTGTGAAATGGGGATAAGAATACCTCACAGGGCTGTTGGGAGGCACAGAAGAGAATAGAATAATAATTTATAACTACTGTTCATTGAGCACTTAATAAGTACCGGACCTTGTTCTGACTACTTTGCACATGTTGGCTTCTTTATTTCTCACACCCACCTTAGGGAGTAGAAACTGTTACTATTCCCATTTTGCAGATGAGGACAGTGAGTCTAGAGAGGTTAAATAGCTCAGGGTCTCAACGTTAGAGAGAGGAGGAGCAGGGATCTGAATCCCATCCACCTTGTCTGGCTCCGCAGGGCATGCTTTCGACCACCAAGCCAGGCTCAGAAAGGATTCCGTCCTTTCACACCTGCCATTCCAAGCGCTCTCAAGAGGCACCAGGTCTGCTCCAGCTCCCTGGAGCCAGGTCTTCCCTCCCCTGGAATCCCAGGGCCTGCAGGCTATGACCCAAACTTGTCTGCCTCCTGCCAAGTGCTTCTTCTCTGCGAAATGTCTATTTGAATTTTTCTAATTTAATCAAATGATGAAAACAGATGCTTTCCCAGTAAATCAGGCTGCTAGTCGTTCTCATTCTCATTCCCTTGACAGGTGCTGACTGAGAGATGGGTAGGAGCAAGGCCATGGGAGGCTGCAGAATGGGACAGCTGTGACGGAGAGCTGAGGCCAGGCCACGGGCCCTCCCGGGGCCGTGAGGAACAGGAGGACTAGGGCTTAGATAACAGGCAAATGCGCCGGGTGCGACGGGGGAGGGAAACGGATTTCAGAAAATGTGATATTTCATACCAGCTCCCAGCAAAGTTCCCACAAGCAGATGGTTTGTGGGCACTTAAAAAAAATTGTAGAAAATTGAATGATACAAGTGAAAAAATGTAACAATTTCTAGGACAGCGCAAGAATACAAGGACTGGGGAACTAGAGGATGATTGCTGGGCAGCATTAGAGGCTGCCTGGAGGGTAATGATCATGAAATTGAAAGAAGACCAACAACATTGTGTGTATTTTGCTCTGGCTACGCTGGGCTAGACAGGTATCGGGGAAGGCAAAAGCTGATTGAACCAGGGCTGTCATTTAGCCAAGCGAGAGTGATGAATCAGGAGAGTGGCAAAAGCCATCGACAGGGCAATTATAATGATTTCCTGTGGAATTAAACCGGGGAAGCAGGGAGTAGAGGCAATGAGGGGGTGAAGGACAGAGTAGAAGTAGCAGGA